TTTTGAAACAAAAAAAATTTCAATCAATGTCGACATTTCGCAAATTCTATGGTAAAAACATTAATCCTATCAGCAAATCTAATTATTTTGGAGATTGCCTAGTAAATCTTTTCATATGAAATTTAAAGCAATTATTTACGCACTGACTTGTCTGAGGATTTTCCTTTTACTATGTATTGCCAGTCGTCGGGGATAGTTACTCCTCCATGGCATCTGATTAGTGGTCCGTCTTTGCGCCGGATTAAGCCTAGGAATCCAGTTTACCCATAGGTTTGGTACACTAATCTCTGCTGAGTTGACAGGACTGACTGTAACTTGTTGAGACTGAAGAGTTGTTTTAAAGAATTTTACTCTTAGAATAAAACATTTGGAGATAATGAACAGTGTTCAATATCAAAGTTTCAATAACAACACAATATAGGAGCAGGGCAAATAGGAGCCTCTAAACATCAGAGTTAGGATCAGGTGCCATGGAGGTGTAAGCATTCCCTGACGACCGGTCACACACACACTGTGTGCACCTTGTCAGGATGGGGAATTAAAGGAAATATCCGTCGTAGATTCAGTATATATATTTTTGACTAGAAATAAAAATATGAGCATGAGTTTGAATAATAAATGTGGAAATTTAGAAAAGTTTAAATAACAAGCCTTATAAGCTTCCTGGAACCGTAGCATATTGTCATGTACTTTTCTAACTCTTTTAACACGTCCCATGTAGCGACTACGGAGGGATAAGCAATACCTTCATGCTTTTTTAACTTTTGAGCACGAGCACTATTCTTAAACATAGGTCTATGTTGTCAATCTTTGATTAAAATGTAATAACAAAACTTTATGATAAACCTATTGACTTCGACTTTTCTATACAATGTAATCAAATTTCCTTATTTAATTAATGCCTTTTCATACAAATTATAAAGCTAGAATATACACACCGAATTGCATGAATAAACAGATTTCCCTTTATTTTTCCAATCTGATCACGATGGGTGTGACCGAACGACAGGGGGATGCTCACTTCTCCGCGGCACCTGTTCCCTTTTCCAATGTTTTAGAGGGCAGTGTTTGCTCTACTCCAAATTTGAATTATTTCAATGGACTCTCGAGCCTAATTATTCTTTTTTTTCTCCAAATCTAAGTCATAAAAATATTTTTTTAAATCTTTACCCACAAGATAAAAACTGTATAATCAAATATTTCAATATCCCATCATTTTGAAAATAACGGTTTTTGAATTAAAAGAAAAAATGTATCTTAATATAGATTTTTGTACTGTCCAATATTTTATTATTTTCAAGATATTTATCAGAGTTGTCAAACAGAAAATTGTGATATCTTTTCTGTTACATGTGTTTTGGCCAAATTCACATACAGGGATATCTTACAGAACATAGTCTGTCTTTATTCTCTAAAGAGAATAAAGCCCACTTCTAATGACATGAATTCAGGAAACAAAAAGTTTTTTGTACAACTTTCTATTTAATTTTCTTTGTGAATTTGAAATTAAGAAGAGACTTACCTGATATTTTTCAATATTCGGTGTTTTTTCTTATTTCTTATTGTTGGGATTCCTAAATACTTAAAATTTCCAAAGCAGTCAGTAAGTTTGTGTTTAAAATCTCTTTCTGTTGGGAGGAACCTGTTTTTATAACTGTCTTCAGATCTAACTTCCCTGTTCTTTTTTTATTTTTGTGGAATGCAGTTGATCAAGTCCCCATGACGTGTTCGACCCGAGTTATACACGTTCTACCTGACTGAGCTTTTTCAATTAAGTATTTATTGTGAAAATCAAACACATTATTTTTAGATTTCTTTTGTGCAAATTCAAATTTTTGTATGACATGGGTCCATTTTTAGCAACATTAAATATTGCTATATGATGGTATTGATTTTTTTTAGCAGATAAAGAATGGAGAATGTTATATTGCCAGACCCACGCGCCTTCATCAATTCTCGCTTTTCAGATCAAGGAATTGTAAACCTTTTGAATAGTCATCTGTAAACATATCTTGTAAAAAAGGAAATCGGAAACTTTATTTGTTATTCATGTTGACGATGGGGTCTTTATTTTGAGAAGTACGATCACTTCTTTGGTTTATTTTAGCTATTGAAAGAAGCAAAGATTATCTCTTCAATTGTCTGTCCGTTTTACTCAGTTTCCCTACCATTTTATTTAGTAAACGCATAAAAATGACCATATTTATACCCCCACTTAAAAAGTGGGAGGGTATACTGTTGTGTAATCGGTATGTCCGTCCGTCCGTCTGTCTGTTACGCTTTGGGCTACACATCTCTTATCCGCAACTCCTCTTATACCACTGAGTGAAATTTAATGAAACTTTCACAGAATCTTTATTACATATTGCTTTTGTGCACCTCCTATTTTACTTTTTGATCCGACACATAGTTTGGGTTTCCCGGCCACAACAAAACATGGACTTTTCCATTATAATCATATGGGAGGCGGGGTGTTTCATTTAGTGAGCTCGTTGCTCACAGTACCTCTAGTTTCAATTTAGGTTTCTGCAATCTTTTCCTAAATTCCAGATGTTGAGCTGATTGATCCCTAAACTCTACCGAGGGGCTCTTTACCAACTGAGAAATTCAAACAAGATCTCTAAACTCTAGGCAGGGGAACTTTACCATCTGAGACATTCAAATGAGATCTTTAAACTCTAGGCAGGGGAATTTATCAAGAAGGATATGCCAAATAACGAACAGTATTCAATCTACAAGTCCATAAAACAATACAAAATAAGAGCAGAGCAAACACGGACCGCCGAAACACCATAGTGAGGTTAGGTGCCATGGAGGAGTGAGCATCCCCTGCTGACCGGTCAATTCCGCCATGTGCTCCTTGTCATAACCGGAAAATAATAGAAGATTTCGTCTTCAAATCATTAAATAATAATGGATTAAAAATTAATATGAAAAACGTCAGTCAGCATTAGACTTGATGATTTTTAAATTGTATTTGCTGACAAAGTCATTGTGTCGACCATAGAAACTTATGATGACTTTAAACTAGACTGTTGATATTCTTGTTTCATAAACTTGCTTGTTAATAATTTACCTAGTTTAAGAAATAGTTCATACGTAGAGAATGCTCTTGTGTATCGATCTTCTGAGATATACACTCCGTATAAAGGTGATGAAGGTATATTGCTGCATAAGTAAGGGAAGTTGACGGTAGAAAAGTTAAAGTCATCACGTTCATCATATAGCTTAGTTGTTAGATTACCATTAGTGTCTTTTTCAAGTAAAATATCCAAGTATGAAACAGAAATGTTGGACTCTGTGATATCTATTATCTCAAGCTCACCAGGATATATCGTATCGACGTAGGAATGGAAATTATCATTGTTAATTGACAATATGTCGTCCATATATTTAAATGTCGAGTGAAAGGCCACATCAAGTGTTTTGTTCTTATCACGTATAGGATTTTCACAAATTCTGCTTCATATGAATATGAAAATAGGTCTGCTAATAACGGAGCGCAATTGGTACTCATGGGAATTCCAATAGATTGTTGGAATACCTGATCTGCAAAAACCACATAGATATTGTCGATCAGAAACTCAAGCATCTCTTTGATGTCAACTTCAGAGTACTTGTGTGCAATCAGAATGCAATCAAATCAAGACAGGGGCTCTTTTTAAAACAAATGAGGCATTAGCTACTAGTAAAAGACCACCAATATCCTACTTAACTAAAAAGTTGCTTGTTTACAATAAATGTAGGGCATCTGTCAATTAAATCAGTTTTCTGTAATTATTTCAAGAAAGAGATGTTTTTCTTTGTTTTTCTGTAACATATGATAAAATTGGTATGACAGTTAAAAAGACAAGTACTGTTAAATTCTTAACCGACATTATTTTATTGAACACAATATTATACACTGGCATAACGTTATAAACAACAACCAAAAACATGAGATAAACTTTATCAAAGTCAATATAGCATTTTTAAAATTACAACACAACCTCTAATGAGCCTTTGGATAAGTTACACTTACATATCGGTTCAATTTACAGAAAAAATAATAATAAATAATAATAATAATAATACTTTATTTAAAGAGGGTGACTCAATTAGTGCGAGCACTATTCTTCCTTGAGGCCCTCTATAAAAATACATATATAATACACAATGATAAATAGTACATTCAACAATGTTATATATTACACAACATACAATAATAATACATGCATTAATTATTTCAATAATACAGTCCACAGATATACAATTATATAATAATTTAAGTTGAACGTTGGTCTATTATAAATTTTCTTGACTTGATTTTAAAATTTTGAAGTGATGGAGACATTCTTATATTTATAGGTAAATTGTTCCACAATACTGCACCCGAATATTGAAAAGAATTTTGAAATAATTTGGTTTTGTGCTTTGGAACACACAAGTCAAAATTAGATTCAGATCTTAGATGGTAAGAATTGGTTGATTGGTAATTGAACATTTCAGACAGGTAATATGGACTTGCACCGTAAAGCGTTTTATATACTAATGCTAACTTATTTACAGTCAATTGCTCGTGTACTGATAGCCAATCAAGTTTTTCAAATAAGGGTTTTGATGGCGTGTCATAGGCAGCATCTAAGATACAGCGAGCTGCCCGTTTTTGTAATTTGTGAATCCTCTCGAGGCTAGAGGCTGATGCATTTCCCCAAATTGTTAAACAGTATTCAATTGATGGCATTATATAAGCATTATAGAATAACTTTCTTGTGTTTAATGGAAGATATTTCTTAATTCTTCGTAATACAGATATCTTTCCAGATAAAGATTTACAAACAGCATCGATATGTGTATTAAAGTTAAGTGAATTATCAATATGAATTCCAAGTAATTTTTCATGTGTGACATTCTCAAGAAAATGATCTGAAATTTCTAATATTAGATTTTGGTTTGTCTGTTTTGATCGTCTCTGATGTGTGCCTATCAACATGCATTTTGTTTTACTAGTGTTCAACAATGAAACATAAACAGCACTATAAACCTAGAATCACATCACAGCCGTGCAGCACAAAGTCACATTATGGAGATAAATCAGATTAAGGTAAATATATGTCTCAGGGACAGACACACCAACAAAGACTACAAATCTTACCTAGTGGAGTAGGCTGTGCACCAGTCCTAACCGCTCAAGGAAGCTATAACGGATTTAAACTGTAAATAATATAAATTTTCATTTTAAAAAAGACCCGTGTAATCAGTGCTGCATATCTAAATTACATACCAAAGAAATTCATTTGTATTAGAGAATAATGTCATTTTATTAAGTTTAAAGATACATAAAAAGAATACTTGTATATATTATTAACATATTGTAAAACAGTCTTTTTTTACAGATTTATACGGATATACTGCTTGTATGTACTTGTATATACTTATGTGTAAATGTTCAACACTAAAAATTCATTTATTATTGCACAACACTTAAAAAGAATCTCCTGTACCGTACCCGATGAAACGTCAATTTCATAGTTCTAATTAAAAAATTAACAACTAAAACTGTCAGTTTTGGTATGCACATAGAATAAAGAAACAACAGAAAAAATTCAAAATTGATAACTTGGATGTAGTTGAAGCATGAGAGATTTGATTGTTTAAGGTAGATAAAGAAGAAGCTGTTTGGAAATCTGTCATCGTAGTTGATGAGAGCGATGACGATGAATCAGCTGACAAGGACGATGACCGTGAAGATGATGTCGATGATGAAGCTGTCGAGAAAACTGCTGATGTCACGTCTGATGTTAATGATGATGATGGTGATGTGGATGTTTTCAATTCTAATTGATTTCTGAATTCTGACCCCACGCACTGATCACATGTGAAGAAACCGTCAGGGTCTTCTCGGAGTTTGATTCGGTACAAACGGTTGTAGTTAGTTCCCCAGAAGTTTGTCTGCCAGTTAGGGGTGGCCTGAGCTGCCTCGTTTGGATACATCCCATTACCAAATTTGGCGAATTCGATATTTCTTTCCATAGTCTTGTAGAAAATTTTCTCGATTTCTGGTATCCCAGGAAGTCCGAATCCCACACCACCTGACATAGAAAGGAGAGTGTCTCTGAAACCAGGATGGACAGATGTAACTTCCGGTCTTATCTCACGCATTTTCCCTACAAAATACAAATGTATTTTACTTGTAAATAATTTGCCAAGATCTTCCAATCGCTTCCCATTGTGCTATGGTTGCAACATTAAAAAATGAGGTAAACATACGGACAGTTCGATCTTTCAATGTTATCAATAAGATTCTACAAAATCAGTTTATAACATTAACTGTTAAAAATTTAACGATTGGGATGTCCCAGAAAAGTAAATATTTTTTTCTATGAAATCATTATGGATCTCTAAACTTGCCTCCAATTAGGGTGGCGGTATATACAGAGCCAGAATTCGGAGTGGGCTGGGTTAAAACAGTTTGTCTTATATAATCTCTAAACTCTTCTGTCAAATTAGAAGAAGGGATCAGAGAGTTATAAACGAAGGTAAAATAATACAGCTGGTCGTTTATTGTTTCTTCATACTCCAAAAAGGCTTGGTACTCCGTGACACTAAAATATCTCTTTGTTGGTAGAAATCCTATGAGACTTTCGAGGTATTTGTAAGATGACGTTGTGTTTGATCCCAGATGATTCAAAACAAAGGTCAGGTGTCCTTTGGAAAAGTACTCATCGGTATTGCCGTCAAAGATTAAATATCCTCCCCATTCATTTGGTAGGTCATCAGTGAATAACTCTCTGATTTTATCAAACACTTGGGAAAGGACGTCTTCACCATAAACTGTATACATTGGATAAATTATGATTAGTTTCACGACTTTCTCTGGTGGCATATGGAGTTTGAATAATAATCTGGTGGTCACTCCAAATGTACCACCCCCTCCGCCGGCAATGGCCCAGAAGAATTCACTGTCACTAACGTTAGACGTGCTTCCGTTGTTGTAAATGGTATGTACGTAGTCTTTTGTCGTTGTGACGATTCTACCGTCCGCCATGATCATTTCTACCTCCAGTAAATTATCAACAGCCATTCCATAGAATCGACAGATTGGACTGTGTCCCCCTCCTAGAGTGTATCCGCCCATACCAACGGTGTGGGCACTGCCACCGACAATCACCCTCCCGTACTTGTCTACCTAAAAGGAAAACCAGAAAGAGTTAAACCATCTTCTAAAAAACGTCCTCGAACGTTATTGATATGTAGACATTAAAATGCTACATGAAACCTATAGAGATAACAAACAGTATTCACGATCAAAAGTCCATAAAACATTACAAAATAGAAGCAAAGCAAACAAGGACCTCCGAAACATCAGAGGTGGGATCAGATGCCATGAAGGAGTGAGCATTCCCTGCTGACCGGTCACACCCGCCGTGTGCTCCTTGTCATGATCGGGAAATAACGGGGAAAATCCGTCGTCAGTTTAGTAAAAAAATAATAGACTAAAAATAAGTATGAAAAAATGTCAGTCAGCATTTGACTCAATAATAAGTTGTATTTTCTGATGAGGTCATTGTATCTACCATAGAACTTACGAAATAATGACTTTTATGATGAGGTAAATTCATTTATAAATAGATTTATCATGATCTCTAACTGCAAAATGATGAAAAAGATGGAAATTACAACAGTTATTGACCTCCAAAAACTAAAAGCAAACCACATCTGTAAACAAAGCAAAAATGTACCCTCGGAAACTAAAGGTGTCATTAGGTGACGACCATTTGATCCTGAGCGGGGGGGGGGGGGGGGGGGCAAATTTTTTTGAGACGGATTATTTATTTTCATGCCTGTCGAGGACAGATTATTTATTTTCAAGATTATCAAGGACAGATTATTTATTTTCTTCTGTGTCTTACCGTACCTTGATCAATTGATTCTAAAAGACTAATCATTTATATACCATATTCGGATACAGGATTTGGGGAGGGGACAGGTATAACTTTGTTTAGGCAAGAGGTCTGGGGCTGCCGTAAGGGCCCCAGTGGGTCCTGGGCGAAGCCCTGGTGGAGGCCAAGGGAGTACACCCACCCCCACCCCCTGACCCCCGAAGCTCTTGGGGTTTCGTGTATTTTAAGGGTAAAACCAGGCACTATTATAGTGGTATTGGTTAATATGAATCAAAGTATGACATAATTAATACTTGTCATACTGTACTTTGAATGAAGTAAGTTCAGGGAGCAAAGCCACCTGAAGCTCTTGGGTTTTTCAATACCGGTATGTATAAGAGTAAAACTTTTGTAGGAATTAGTTAGATGTGTACCAAAGTATGACATTATTAAGTCATATCATACTTTGAATGAAAAGGGCCCAGGGTGCGAAGCCCCCTGAAGCTCTTGGGTTTTTGTCTATTTTAAGAGTAAAACTAGGCACAAAAATATTGGTATTGTTCCAAAGTATGGCATTATTATTATTATTCGTATCATACTTTGAAATTTGAAGGGAGGGCCTGGGGTCGTACAAATGTACGTCCCCCTTAAATCCGCCAGTGTATATTTTGTATTAATTTATCTAGAAAGTATAATTATTCGACAAGAAAATTTATCTTTTGTGGTGTATAAGAATTGGTTTGTATTTAACGGTATTCTCCACACCTACTAATTAAGTGCACATTGTCATGTTGATAAACTGACTTAAGTATCCACTCTGGTAATCTGATTTTAAATACTATTTGGTTCTAAAATGGCGAGCGAAGCGAGCCCAAAAAAAATTTGGAATTGAAGACTTTTGAGATTAAATTACACGTAAATAAAAAAGGTATTTTTACAATATTTAATTATCAGAAGTCAAGGTCAGATTATTTATTTTCTCTGTAGTGGAGGACAGATTATTTATTTTCAACATTTTCAGGGACAGATTATTTATTTCCAAAATCTGCCAGCCCCCCCCCCCCCCCCCAGAATCAAATGGTCGTCCCCTTATGTTTTACAAAAAAAACATGAGAAATCAAAGATAACGAAGCTCTCCTCGTCAAATGTTATCAGTGTTAGTAATGCAAATCTCGCATCATTTTTTTGTATTTAGAGTGCACACTGAGGTCAACATCCATCAAAGTTGTTAAAGTAGGACAAACAGTTTCTTTGGAATAAACATGCTCCAAAAACTTTAAGCTTGTCATACATCAAGAAAATATTAATTCAGTCACAACATCCGAAGCAAATGTATATCCTTAGATGCATTCTCTATGCATGTTTAATCATAACAAGCCAACAAGCCATACAATGAAAGAGCTGATCCAAAATCATACCCTGATCTCTCATCTGGAAAATGAGGGAAAGATCCAGCATCCTAAGCAGGTCTCGTAGTGTTCATCTCTAATAAATCGTCCAAGCTAATTTGATTAAAGTATGGTTAAAATTCACGCATCCAGAAAATACAGGGCATATCAAGCACAGATCTGGGTTTGTTTCATTCCTTGAAATTTAAGTTTGGTTCAGATCGGACCTATAATTACTTGGGAACGGACCTGCTCTAAAAACTTTGACCTGGTCCCTCAACTGGAAAAAAAATATAGGTCTACCTATCCAGCATTTAAGGTACATGTAAGTCTGGTAGTGTCCATCCCTAGATGCATCATCAATGCAGGTTTGGTCAAGGTAGGGCTTATAGTTACTTAGGAATATATCTGCTCCAAAATCTTTAACCTGGTCACTCATCTGGAAAATTAAGGCCATGCAGATCCAGCATCTGAAGCAAGTCTTGTAGTACCTATCCGTAGATGCATCCTCAATGAAAGTTTGGTCAATGTTGGGCTTATAAATGTTGTTACTTGGGAAATGGATCTGTTTCAAAAACATCATATGATCACTCATCTGGAAAATGTGAGTCAAATCCAGCAAGTCTGGTAGTGCCCATCCCTAGATATATCATCTATTTAAGTTTTGTTCAGGTAGGGTTTTTAATTCCTTGGAAATAGACCTGCTCCAAGTACTCTAACCTGATAAGTATTCTGGGAAATATGTCAGATCCAGCATCTGCAGCAGGTCTGGTAGTGTCCATCCCTAGATGCATTATGCATGCAAGTTTGGTCAAGGAAGGGCTTATAATCATTTGGGAATGAACCTGCTCTAAGAACTTTAACTGGGACGCTGAAGCTAACGCTGACACCGACGCCGGGGGAATAGGATATATGTTCATTTTATTTTTGTCAAAGTGAAGTAATAAAAAGAAAAGTGTAGATTATTACACTTTTTCTCTACAGGAGGATTATTAATCTGGACACAAATTCTTAATACGTCTCTCTATATATAATAACTACTTTCTTCTCTATAGAAACCCCTGCTTACTTATATAATTTAGAAATTCGGATTTTACGCATTACTCTTTAAACATTAATTCTGCTCACTACTATTTAAACATTAAGTCTAATCATTTCTCTTTAAACATTAAGTCTACTCACTTCTCTTTAAACATAAATTTTACTCACTACTCTATAAACATTAATTCCACTCACTACTCTTTAAACATGAAGTCTACTCACTTCCCTTTAAACATTAATTCTACTCACTTCACTTTAGACATTAATTCTATTCACTTCTCTATAGACATTAATTCTACTCACTTCACTTTAGACATTAATTCTACTCACTACTCTATAAACATTATTTCCACTCACTACTCTTTTAAAATTATACTCACTTCTCTATATAAACACTAATTCTACTAACTTCTTTGAAGACATTAATTCTACTAACTTCTCTGTAGACATTAATACTACTCACTTCTCTATAGACATTGATTCTACTCACTTCTCTATAGACATTAATTCTACTCACTATTTTATAGACATTACTTCTACTCACTTCTCTGTAGACATTAATTCTACTCACTTCTCTGTAGACATTAATTCTACTCAATTCTCTGTAAACATTAATTCTACTCACTTCTCTATAGACATAAATTCTACTCACTTCTCTATAGACATTAATTCTACTCACTTCTCAAAAGACGTTAATTCTACTCACTTCTCTATAGATATTAATTCTACTCGCTTCTCTAAAGACATTAACTCTACTCACTACTTTATACACATTAATTCTACTCACTTCTCTATAAACATTAAAATTCTACTCACTTCTCTATAGACATTAATTCTACTCACTGCTTTATAGACATTAATTCTACTCACTTTTCTATAGACATTAATTCTACTCGCTTCTCTAAAGACATTAATTCTACTCACTACTTTATAGACATTAATTCTACTCACTTCTCTATAGACATTAATTCTACTCACTTCTCAAAAGACGTTAATTCTACTCACTTCTCTATAGACATCAATCCATTGGTTTCCAGGTCCCACGGTAATTGTCCCGTTTTCATGTCTCCAGGAATCTAGATCCACTTCTCTGCCCTTCATCAAACTTAGATTTATCTAAGTGTAAAACGGTTTTAAATCTCATTCATAACTACCTGTAAACATTGCTGTTTCAAATTTTGCAAACTTTTTTTTTCAATTTTAAAACGCTTTATTTCAAACCTGTAATGTGCCATTCCCCGTAGAACGACCATTGAAGTCGTGTCCAGTACCCAGAACAGTCACTCGCAGATTATATTGTCTGGCGAAGGCGATGGTGTCTTTGACATCGTCACGTGACATAGCCATGACAACCGCGAAAGGGTAACTAGTCCTGATGAGGTTGTGCATCAATGTGACGTTAGTGTAGGTTTTATTGTCAGAAGGAAATACAACTGATCCGTTAGGAAGGGAAGAAGAAAACGCTTGGATGACGCTGATGCTTGGAAAACAGGAGTCTTCAGGATAGCAGAAAGGGGTCAAGGTTAAACAAAGGTCAGGGAGGACCAATAAAAGGACCATAGATATGATAATCATTCTGAAAAAAAAGTGCATGAAAAGATTTTTTTATTAAAATAAAAAAAAGATTTTTTATTAGATATTGCAACTGCATTTCTTTCTTAAAATAATATTCCTATAGTTCAACAAACAAATTATTTTCAATGATCATAGAGGGAACGACTTTACTTTACCGGTCCCCAGAAAAACGCGTAAAATGTAGTGTCGCCGAAGGCGACTTCAGTTTATATGAGATCGCGAAAAAATTTTAAATACGCGGGTTTTTTTTTTTTTTTTTTTTTTTTTTGCTTTTTGATCTCAAAATCGAATTCTACGGTTAAAAGTTAAGTTTAAAACTACGTTTTAAACGGTTTTAACCTCGTTCTCTGAAAACATTTAACTAATATTGTTTATTCAAGGAAAAAATCGACAAAGAAAGATTATTCATGAACGAAACGCGTGCGGTGCATGCTTAGTGTCATTTCTTTCGGACTTAGCCATTCTTCCATATAAACAAACAAACGAAACGCCTTTGAAGCTGAATTATGATCTTAGAAAAATTACAGAAACATCTGAATTTCTTAACTTATCTAAGAGAACGAGTCACTAACCCTAATCCATCGTATGGTATGCAAGGACAAAGACGTTTAGACGAAATCTTCCGGGCAGATGCTAGACTAACCCTTATCAGTCGAATAATGTCCGAGGACTAACCTTAATCTCTCAGATGGACGCGAGACTAACCCTAATCAGTCGAATACTAGTGCAAGGACTAACCCTAATCTCTCAGGTGGGTGCAAGACTAGATCTATTTCTAATCACTCATATAGTGTGCAAATTTAACCCATTTCAGTTGAGTGACGTAGTTGTTACGTCATAGTCCAGTGAGCGCCAGGATCTTGCGGATCTTGGGACCGGTAAAGTAAAGTCTACCCGAAATCTGCATCATTTACAACTAACATATTTCAGGAAAAAAAACATTCCTATCCATGCATCCAATCTATTAATATAGCAAATGCCCTTAATTGTTATTGAAGAGAAATAATTTTTTAATGTTTATTTTAAAAGAGGAAATAAAATAGTCCTCACCTTTTACGCTCAGGCTCCTGGGTCTGCGTGGACTACCGTCCTTTACTCCGCGGTATTTAAGTTCATTCCCGGAGACACGGATATTAACCCCAGTCATAAGGTCTGGAATGTTTCGAAATACCTTTAAATTTATAACGAGCGGATTGTCAGGTGCTTAACATTGACAAAAAAGAAACATGAATCTTTCAGTATGTTTTAAATTTGGATATGTAGTCAATTCTTACCTGTTTTGTATCTCAGATTCTTATTTATTTACAGCATTTTCTATACACTACGGAACCTGATCCCATCTGATGTTTTGCAATCAAAACTGGCGAACTGGAATGCAGTGTGCAATAATCATAACTAATTGCATTCAACAATGCATTTCGCAATTCAAATTTTAACAGGTGTCCCATCATATGAGATTGTCAAGGTTATATAGTGGTGATCTGATACCATTTCTTTGAAATTATGGTGCCATCTTTACTTTCCAAATTCTGCAGGTCAAGATTTCAACTTTATTAATTAAACTGTATGAATGAAATCGGGCTCGAAATACCAAAATTAAAACGCACGTGTACACTGTACGTTGTAATAAACCCGGCCTTCTCAAATTCTCACCAGAGTCAATGCTTTTCTCGCAAAAAAGGTGTCGCGAAAATTTAATGATCTTCAAAATTTAATGTTCCTTGAATTCATACATATTGTAACGTGCAACGCGGCCGAGCTTGGTGTGTGTGATTTGTTTTGTATCACCGAGGCGTTACACTAGGTTCGTTAACCTGTTACCTCAGGTTTTTGTTGATCAAGTCCAATGTATACAAATATATACATATTTACAAGATATACAGTTTCTTCTCGATTGGACAACCACTAACTGTGGTCAACGGTTATCTCCCGCAATGAATTTCTTCTTGTCCTGCCACTTCATTCGTACTGCTGCATCTTGGCACTTCTCCCACTTCTGTGGTAGGCCACCTCTCTCAACATTGACCTACTGCCTTATGCAGGTCTTTCGTATTTGTTAATAATGTAAAGCGTTACTGCCCATCCCCCGCAACTGTGTGCCTTATTCAGGTCTTATCACAATGTTTAAGAGCATAGACATAAACGGTATAACAATTCTACCACCAGAGAGGTATCCTGAGCATATCCTTATACAACATGTATAAACCCAGTGCAGTCCTAGTACATAGGCAGCTATAAACTACTTAAATGATCTTAGAATTAATATTTTTTTATTGGTTAAGAATTTAAGGTGGCTCATTACATCCACAGTTTATTTTAGATTTCAATACAGCACCATTTATTATGTAGATGTCAAATATCCAGATGGGGGGTATTGATATCTAAATATTTTTTTATAGAATTTTTTAGTTTTTGTCTAATTTTAGTGAAATGTTTTATTTCAAGTTTATTATTAACAGAATTTCTGAACTTTCGGTGTCAACTGATGGGCATCTTCTTAAGACAAGTACACACAGGGAAAATACCTCATAATACCTAATAATAATTTTATTAGAAAAAATAATTTTCTCCTAAAAAACAATCAATGTCATTATCTTTTTAATCTATGCATAAAACATTAAGAAAATGAGTTCTGAAGAGACAAGGAATGTATTTCAATGAATTACATGTGTCAAATTGAATGAAGAATGTTTAAACAAAATGAAAAATCCAATTTTAAAAAATATTTGGAATAAAAATTCCACTTCCAAGAGTTATCTTTCCGAATTACCCAAGACTCAAAACACGAAGGAACGTTTGACATTACATTTAAAATTCAGAACAAAGCATTAATTTATTTTTTTAATTTCAACAAAGGTGTAGATTTTAACTCGAATTTCCTCCATACAAACATGTCATTGACTGCATGCATCGCTATGAAATTGACATTACTTGTTTGGCGAAGATTTGATTGTTGTTTTCCTTTGTTTCTGCTCAAAAGCAATTCTTCTTGGGTTATGCATTATAAATCCGTTACTTTGTTTTCACTTTTTATAACACCGCATGTTTCATCTATTTTTAAAGCGTTTTAAAGGTCAAGGTCATATTATAGAGGTACCTGTTCAATTCGTCCCCAGAGGAAACCGGTGGACACAATGGAGGTTTATTTTTTGTGTAGTACGTCATCAAAAAGTGGTGTAATGAGCCTCCTTAAACAAAAACGCACGTCTAACGTTTTATACGAAACTAAATCACAAAAACCAATTTCCGTTTCAATTTTTTATCTGGGACAACGTTATAGATGGATAACCTTTCTTAACCAGAGCTGATCAGAAAATATCTCACTCTGATATGAGATCGCAGTTGTCGATAGTACAAAATACCTACCTCTGTAAAGCGAAATTGATGATAGGGCTGCATGTACAAAAAATAGACCTCATCTGATACTTGATCAGTGGAGCAAGGCCTCTGCCGACGTTACAAAGTACGAGCAACCTCTCGAATGAAATAGGTAAATATTTACGTCAGTGAACCGCGACCTATGCAATAGTTAAATTTCTGTCCGCTGCATTTCATTTCCGGAAATATGCATATCATTTCCGACATTTTTTGTTTTCATTTCCGACATAATTTTTTTTTCATTTCCGGAATTTACCTGTGCGGCAATTTAATGTTTTCCAAGTTAGTGAAATGAAATTTTAAAAGTATTTATTGCAGAATATTGATAAAAAAAATATAAATCCATCATTACATATATGTATACATGTAGCACTAAGTCTAGGTATTAAAAGTGATCATTTAGCATAAAACTTTTTCACCACATTTAATGTGCACTAAATTAAATGTCAGTGACAGCAGCAAACTTATGTTCAAGTCATCAATAGATTAACTTAAATCAGAAATTGGATTTCAATGATATTTAATATCATAATGATTTTATTCATTTAAATTTTTCATAGGTAAAGTCTCAAATCTCTTACTAAAATGTCGGAAATGAAAACAACAAATGTCGGAAATGAAAACTAAAATTTGTCGAAAAATGAAAAGTTCATAATAATATTACAAAAAGTTCCGGAAATGAAGTGCAGCCTTTTTTTTGCTTGGGTGGGAAATAAATAAAACAACATTGAATTAGCTAATACAGTGAATCTCGTTTAGAAGTCCAAGTGTTTAATATACACTTGTCACGTACGTATGACAATATCTTTCCTGAAAAATCCCCCATAATACCCGTGCCTTCACATTGATCCCACGAGGTATTTTCATATATTTCCATTTCCAATTGTTTTCTCTATGATAAACACTACAAAAGTGTATCTTGTTAATTTCATGATAATACCCTGTGGTATGCATATTTCTCTATTACTGAAAGGTCAGGTGTCAACCTGCATGTATATCACTGGCGTATAAATATACTCAAGAAAAAATAGATGTTTTGTTTAATTGTTTACTAAGTAATTTGATTGATATATCTTTTTAACAAACAAAATAAATAATGAATTATCTTCGGCTCGAAAGCAAGTCACTAGCGCAACGCTGTCCACTATAATCGAGGCCTCGCGAGTCCGAGAACTCCACTTCCGTAACAGCCACGTGGAGAAATTGACATTGCCACATGGATCTGCACGTACTCCATCATCTGATACAGACATGGTCCCTTAGTCATTACCATCTGACTTCTTAAGCAACTCAACTTTTTCTGTTATTATAACATCCATACAAATCGGTTTCCTGACCATGCTGGCTAGCTCCCGTTTCATCAACTGCAACATTGCATTCAATATGGCGGCGGAGAAGTGACATAGTGCCTATATATGTTCGTGCTTCCGACAACCTAAATCTAGGTCACATATATAATTAAAGTCAACAAGATTACTTTGATTATCATTTAAAATTCTTTTGTTGTTTATTTTATAAATGTTGATATTTGGCTACGGTAAATATAAATAGTCAATAAAGGATGTATTCGCTTTAACAAAAGAATTGACCTATAGGAGAGAACAATTTCCCGGAAAAAG